AAAAATTATTTATTGTAGAGTTCTATTCTTTTTTAAAACATGTACTTTACTATGCTCATGAGAAATTTGAGCACTATATCATTGCTAAATTTAGACTAGTTTTTAATTATCATTCCTAAATTTAGCCTAATACTCAACCATCATATCTAAATTTGGCAGTAAGGAAAATAGTTTTTTTAACCAAAATCACACATAACCCTTTTTTAAAATCACAATTTTTGAAATTTGAGCGCGTGGCGCAGCAATAGGAGGTCTTTAGACCAAGCCAACCATAGTAAATTTGAATTTTTACATAGTAAAAATTTACCAAATATAATAGATAGTTTTAAATTGAATTAATTATTGGTACATACATATATTTTTAAAAAAGAGAAAAATTTAGAATATCATTAATGATGATCTTATATTATGCTTCAACACTCGATAATCAAACATTGCATATCAAATTGTTTCTTTTTCAACAGTCAATGCCGCCTTGACATCTTGTGATTATAATAATAATAATAGTATTAGTATTATTGATTACACAAAGCAAAATATTATCAATGAAAATCTTGTAATCACTCAGCAAGATCTGCTCCACGTTTTGATTCCAATTAAAATATTTATAAAAAATAAAAATACACCACATACATATCAATACAAGTAAAAATAGTACCTCTGGTTAGTCATTAACACTTCTTCTTTAGGAGACCCAAACCAAACCAAACAACAACACTCATGTTTTGTCACCTTGGACTCTGTCAAAAAATAAATAAATTGTTTTTCCAAAAAAAAAAAAAAAAACAATTCGCATCTGTCCTACCAAAAAAAAAAACCAATAGGATAAATAATTAATGTGTTACATGTTGATCAAATAACAAACTTCTTTTTATTAAAACATGCCATGTCAATCGAAAAGAAGATGAGGAAAAGAACAAGAAGACATCTCTGGGTAAGTGTTTTAAGAATGGTGGCGGTGGTTATGATGCATTACAACTTTGTTGTTACTCTAGTTAACTATAAACTTTTTTTTATTAGTGAAAATAAAGAAAACAAGAATAAAGGAGTATTTATTCAATAACTTATTATTTTAGTATTCAATATTGCAAACACCTTGGAATGGGAGGTGAAGGATTTGAACTTGGAGAATGAGCAATTAAGAAAAAAAATTAAAAATTTTTGAAGGTAAATATCTCAAATGTAAATACATAAATATTCTAGTTTATTTTATTGATTTGAATGGGAATTCATATATTTTAACTTGTTATCCATTAATTTTGTTTTATTTTCTTTTGCATTTGTTGTCCAACCTTCCAAAGAAATTAATACACAATATTATATCAACATCCTTGATGAAATATGAGATGATATACAAGATATTAAGCGGCAACTTGATGAACAAAATACCAAGTCTATAAAGATGTTGCAAGTCACATACAAAATAATTCAGAAAGTATTTGATGCATATGAAATCTCGGTTCCATTGACTCATTCTCTTGTAGAAAATGATGAGCTGCTCACACAATTGACATCAAATGTCAACTTTGACTTGCCTAAATTTGAATGGAGTAACCATAATGAAAATCATACAGTAAACTCTAAAGCAGCTTTGCAGCACTTTCAAAATTTACTTCAACAGTGGCCTTCAAAGGTTATTTTATTAGATCATCAAGGGTTAAATAAGAGAGGAACACCATTAACACTTATGTTTGAGATACCAAATATGAGGATATCAGGCAGATCTGATTTGTATGTTTTGCGGGATAGCATTGATCCATTGTCTAATATTATTATATTAGTAGAATTAAAAAACCTGATTCAATGATATCATCCAATTTATGTCAAACAACTACACAGTTAATCGCAGCCCACATGTCTTCCATTGCAAGTATTGACTGATCTTCAAGGCAATTGGATATTACAATGGATTGGCAAGGATAAGGGGCTGGAATTGCATCAACTTGAACTTAAGCCAGGAAATCAATCAATCATGCCTCAAATTGCAGCAGCTGGCATCATAGACTGTTGGTTGAGGGCAAATCTATACAATGAAAGATTAGTAAAAGACAATGAAATGGAAAATTATGAACATTTCCTTGAAACATTCAAAAGCTTTAGCACACTTCAAGAATCTAAATTTGCAGTACTATGTAGTGAAAAAATTGTTTTAAAAAGAAAATCAGTATGAGTGTCACAAATTGAAGAAATTTTTATTAATTTGCAAATATAGTAATAGTAATAGAGGTTCTCATGTAATGGACAATAATATATTTTTTTATTATTAAATTCTTCATTCATAATTTACCAATTTGTTCATAATAATAAATCATACATAAATAAATGTAAAAGAGATATTTATACATACAATACAATATAATTAATTCTTTTTGTTTAATAAAACATTTTGTGGTTGGGAATTAAACAGTAGGGTTCTATGTTTAAACTATTTACAGGAGTGTTGGTATCATCATCATCATCTACTTCCTCTTCTTCAACTTCATCATAATCATCATTGGTTAGAATGTCAGGTCCTTTTTCAAGTCTCTTATTGAATGATTTTACATTACTATCTATACCCTTCTTATAATATTCTTCACAATATCTACATTGTTTTTCTAATTCATTATAGCAATTCACATGGTATCCATGACCACATATTAGCACAACTTCATCATTATTTGTGGAAGTTGATAATAAACCTTTGCAGTGATCACATAAGTTAATACTTGGGGGATATGATGTGTTGTAACCTGCTGGGAGAAGTTTTGTATCCACAATTTTATCTAGAGTTGTTAATTTGTAGGTTTTTTTCTCTTCATTTTCTAATTTACTTTTTCCAAGATTTAAATAAATTGAATGGAAATAATTTAACAAGAACAAGCTAGTTCTTATTGTTAACTCCTTCAGCACTGGTTCTGTATATGGATATGTACATTCATTTTTGAATGTTTTTATTGTTGTTTGATCATGAAGGTCAAGTAAGTATGCTTGGTTGATTATGGCTTCTGGAGTATGTAATGAGGTTGTATTGTTTCTTATTTTACTATGTATGTTTTCAACATAATAATCATTAAAATTAGCTAAATATAACTTTATTGTTTCATTAAAAGGATGATTTTTATCTTTCCAATAATAATAATCAGATAAAAATGCCAAAGGAGCTTTGTTATAGTTTTTTCTTCTCCACCTCAATGCAAAGGTCCAAATATGAAATACAGTTTCCAAGTATTCTTCAAAAGAACCTGACCTAAATAATATTGCATATATGTCTAAAGTTGAAGGTATGATATTATCTAGAAGGTCTATCATCATTCTATATTCAATATCTTTGCAATTTTTGGGAAATTTATTTAATATCACGTGAGATTTTTTTCCAACCTCTACTTGCAAGATCTAGCAAAAGGTTAATTCTCCAAGGCTTTGGTTTTTTTGCCAACACTTTTCTTGATCCAAAAACATAATGAAATAACTTATTGAAGAACTCATTATAACTAACTTCAAATATTCCTTTAAATTCATCCATTAAATGTAATTTAATTCTATCTGCCTCAATATTTTTATTTTTTTAGAAACAGAGGTTGCCATATGATTTGCTGTGGAAAGAGTGGTTGTATTTGGTCTTCTCCATCCATGGATAGAGTGATAATCATCAATGTTAAAACAAAATAAAGAATTCATCTAAATGATATGTATGTATTTATTAATAATTATATGATATTGTAAAATATTATAAATTCTCAAGAATTACTTACATTTTTGTTAAAATATTCATTAATTTTCTTTGGGTGAGTTCTTGCAAGATTTTTCTTATAATTATCAATTTTTTTATAGGATGTTGTGATACCAATCCTTGATAGCATATCAACTGCAGAACTGCTTGTTCCTGATCCAACAAGATATAGTCCAAGATCAAGTTTTAATGAGTTAGTACATTTACTACATAAACTTGCCAAGAAATAGCAAAAGGTAACAACTGATTTTTTGGCATTTTCTATATTTTTTTCTTTTCTTCTTTTTGGAATAATTGCCATAAAACAACATGTTACCTTCGCTAAGTTGTTGTTCTCAGCTTCTTTCCATTTATTGCCTTTTGTTGATGAAATTTAGCTGATTCAGTGGTTTTACATTCTGTGCAATGTTTAATTTCAGGCAATTTTTCTTCAAGTAAATCATATTATGAAAGTTGTGGGATTCAAAAGATATGATAACAACAAAGTGTAAAGCTTCAAGTTTGTGTAATTATTTACATGTGATATATTGCAAGAATGGGCTACATGATACCCTTGTAAAAGCATTTTAAACTATAAAAAAATTGAAAATTCATTCCTTTATATAGGATGGTCTCTCCTGTTCATTAATTTTCATTTTTGTGATATTAGGGTGATCTGCAACATATAGTAAAATTTTCTTTTCCTCTATTCAAAAAATTCAAGTTGCTTGATATTAATTTAAAATCAAAAATCCTTTTAATGAATTTGAAACAATTTTAAGGTGTAACATTAAAGTTATAAAATTCATACTGTTTTTTAAAATGCTAAAATATTACTTCTTAAATATCTAATTATATGCAGAATAATAATATATTCACTCATTCTGTTTGTGTTAATATAGAAATAGATCCATCAGGAAAGTTTATCAAAATTTAATCACATCAAATTTAGCAACATCAAAATTTAACAACAACATCATAATACATTGTTAATAATCACACTCATTGATTAAATTCAATATAGATAAATTTAACAAAATCAAAATGTAACTGAAATGATTAATATTGAGTAATATTTATTGCATTTATTAATGCTAAATTTTTTACAGTACTAATTAGCTACTATAACTAAATGCAATGCTAAAATAACTTCAACACCCAATTTTTTCTAAATATATCATGTAAGTATTATCAATTAGTAAAAATAAAGTAATCATATTAAATTTATAAATAATAAATAAATTGAACCACTATTAATAAAATAATGAATCATAATTTGGTTCTTCTTCAATTGTTCTCTATCTTCTTCAACATTTGTCCCATTTTTCTTTTGGATTTCTGAAATTTCTTCCCTATTACTATAAAAATAAATATGGAATTGGTATGGAATAGATAGATACGGAATGCACAAAAAGTATGGAAATTTGTTTTTGTTACATGGACTGTTTCTGTACTTTTTATACATTTTCCCTGCACCTTTTGTATGTCTTTTCCATACTTTTTTTGCATTCCATATCTATCTATTCCATACCAATTCTGTGTTTTATTTTTTATAGGGCTTCTTCTGATATCAATATAAAGTTATAAGTTTGATGGATCCATTATCTCTAATTAATTCCTAAAATTTTTTAATAAATAAATAAATAAAACACAAAATTAACACCTTAAATTTTTCATATCATCATTCTAAAGGTCTTCTTGCACATTCTATGTCAGGACTATAATTTGCAAATGGATCCTCACACAGGGTCTGTACTAGGAAAATCAAGCTTCCAGCTATTTTCTTTTTTTGTCTTTTTACTCAACAATAATCTCTAATAAAGAATTTACAGTTGGTGAAAAAATTGGACCCTGTTTGGATAGTAGAAAAATAAGATACAAGGCTTGGAATATTTTCTTTATATATTAAAAACATATGTGTAACCAAATGTATAAGGGTTGTTACTAAAAATAGATTTTTTGTCTGGAAGCTTGATTTTCCTAGTACAAACCCCAATCCTTTGCTGAAGAGATTATAGTCACAAACCTGTATTATTGGAATTAAGTTTTTCAACTGAAAAGCTGACATTAAGATACATACTATTTTAAAGTGGAAGAAATGGGATACATGGTAAGAAAAACATTACCTGTGAAAACAAGGATAAAGATGAAAGGAAACATTAACACCATAGCCACTGAATTAAAGGAAGAGTAAATACTATCACCACTGAATGACACTATATGTTATTATCATATGCTATATAATTAAGGCTGAGAAGCCTAGATGTAAAATTCTGGAGATAAAACCAAATGAAGTAAAACTGTACCTTGAGAATAGTAGTAAAGGATAAGGGACAAGAGATCAAGAAAGGTCAGGACTAAAATTATACTGTTAGAATACAGAAGTGTTCAAGAAAGGCCATGAAAAAAATTATACTTTTAAAATCAACAAAGTGTTCAAGGAAGACTATAACTAAAAATTATACTTTTAGGACCAAAGAAGCACTCAAGGAAAGCTATGATGAAAAATATACCCTTAGAATCAAAGAAGCGTTAAAGAAAGGTTATGATGAAAATAGATTGAAGAAATTATTTTAAAATTTTTAATAACATTCAAAAAGGTTAAAATTCAAAAATTTAAAAAGTTGAAATTCAAAAATTCGAAAATTCAAAATTCGACGGAAGAATTGATCAGACACCCTGTCACGAAAAAAGTATCTTATACTTAGGAGAGAAGACAGAACATGAATAAATGTAATAAATGTGAAAATTCAATTACTGAAACGTTGCACAAAGTCATTATGATTAGCAAAACAAAATATAAACAAAGCACAAAGACTAAATAAACCTGTTCAACTCAAATAGAATGAGTCTTCGGAAAATAGTTCAAAAAAAAAAAAGGGGCCTGGACCTACGAAAATTTAAAAATAATATATTTGGAAAGTTTAATTAAAGAATCGAAGTAAAGAAAGAAAAGGATACCGAAAGGATAATAGTATCTTTGATGGAAGGACAAATGCAATAATGCAAGGAGGAAGAAACGTCAAAACAAGTGATCGTTATAGGATCAAAGTTTGCAAAACAAACTAGAAAAAATTAAAAATTAATTACAACTAATTAGGAAATGTAAAATGCAGATAAAGAATAACTGTAATTAAATAGCAAGAAAGAATTTTAAGCATTAATAGAACACCATGTTTGAATTGCATAAAAAACGAAGAAATTAATTTTATTTCGTGGAACATTTGAAAATTAATTCTAATTTGTATAACAAAAGTTCTACTTGCGGGAACAAAAAATTTGTTATTAATTTATTAACATACAATGAATCAAAATCGAGAGAGAAATAAACAAAATTTACGAAGAATAAATTAATTGTAATAGTTCTAGAAGGAAGACCAATAAAATACTTGAAGAACTAAGTGCTATGAGTGCGGCTAGTACAAGTGCAAATTCTAGTGGCTGAAGGAGCCAAACGGAAAGTACATAATTACACCATAACAAGAATCAAACAGACATGAAGGAAATAAACAAGAAATTTGATTAAGATCATATATAATCTCTATCGTTAATTATCTTAGTGATTTAATCTCGTATATAATCTTTGTCGTTGATTATCTTGGTGATTAATTTCATATATTATCTTTATCGTTAATTATCTTGGTAATTAATTTCGATGATGCTAAATATCGTACACGTCGTAAGATAATTATCGAAAATTATCTTATTTCGTTGATTTTCGATTTTTTTATTGAGATAATAATAATAATAAATATCGACAAATGGTGTATCTCAATATTTATCCCCTAAAAAATTTTCTGATGAAGGCAGCGTTAACTCATTTGTAACATATATGAATTGATCGACATGGGGGTTCTAAATCGATTGTTGCGCGATTTTTTAATGAACTGCTTGACATTTATAAAACGAATGTCCATTATGTATTTTAAAGGCAACTGAAAGAGATCTTATGTTGTTAATTAATAATTAATACTAGTTATTTATGCATTCATACACGCTCATAAATCAAATTTTAATAATATGTTATTATATGAACATTCATTAATAATAAACAAATCCCAGATTAATATTCTTATGATTAATACTATGGTTGTTATGGTTTGAACAAAAATATATCGATATCAATTGCATCTTGTGGGAATTTACAAATGTGATTTTAAAATTTTAACAATACCGTAAAGTCTGGAAAGATAGCACCCCCCGAAAGATAGCACCCCCTACTTTAAAACAATTGAGCGTCAATATAAAAAAAATGTTACACATGTGTAAAAAGGGGATGCTATCTTTCCAGACTTTACGGTAAAAGTAATAATTGATAACGGAATATTTTAGGAATATATAATTATACCCTCACAGCCTTTTTTAAGGAGTTGTTGCAATATTTACACCGAACTAATCTACATTTGATTTAAAAATAAATAGAAGGAAAATGGGCAATTTAAATTTATTTTTATTTTTCGAAAAAATTATTAAAAAATGTTTGAAGATTCAAATAAGTTATATGTTGAAATCACTGGCTATATCTCAATATTTTGTTGGGTTGTAGTATTAATGCCGTAAGTTATATCTACTACATTCGACAAAACAAACACATAAATATAAATTAATTATTGTATGCAACATATTTCTTTCGATAAATTAGACAATTATATACAAACTATAAACGAAAGTCTAGCGATTCGCTATCTCTCGTTTTCCTATTTATATGGCTTGCCGGAGATGCTCTAAATCTACTTGGTTGTATATTACAAGGCCTATTACCAACAATGGTAAGTATAGATTTTTCATTTGTAAATATATAAATGCATAATATAATGTATTCATAAATTTATTTATATTTAGATAATTCTTGCCAGTTATTATGTTTTTTCCGATTTTGTTTTGCTATTTCAAGTATTCTATTATCGGAACAAACAACCAATTGAAGAAGTTGTAAGCACTTCTACAATAATAGAAGAAACATCACCACTTTTACAAGAAAACTCGTCATCATTATCAGCAGGACATGGCAAAAGAGTTAAAAAAGTTATGTTCGCTTTTGCTTTGTTTATCGCTTGCTTTATTGGAGTCACCATTTACTACATTTCTTCTCGTTCACAACAAATCAGTAATGGTGGTGATAGTAATATTTTGAATGCCTCAGAAGTTAGTATTCTATCACAACTCTTTGGTTGGGCAAGTGCTATACTTTATTGTAAGCTTATAAATATTTTATATATATGATATTGCATGAATGGGCGATTTAAATTGATTATGTAATTATTTAGTGAGTTCAAGAATACCTCAAATCAAGATGAATTTTGACTCAAAATCAACAGAAGGCTTATCATTTGTAATGTTTTTTTTTAGTGTAATGGGTAATGCTTTTTATTGTTTGGTATGTCTTTTTTTGTTTTTCTTTCTATGAAAACTATCATTTTTTGTTTTTGAAGTTAAACGATCATACTAATTTATCTCTTCTTTTTAAATACACACGCATTAAATAAATTAGTCAATATTTCTCTATTCAACAGATTATGACTATTTATTAGAGAATTTACCTTGGATTGTCGGAAGTGGAGGAACATTGGGTTTTGATTTTATAGTAAGTTGATTAATATTGTTATTACTATTATTAATATAATGTAGATATATTTTATTAACTTGTTTTTTTTTTCTTAGATATTTGCTCAATTCTATTTGTATAGGAATAAAAATGGCATTAATAATGTTCAAAATTCATCAAACACAGCATTTCCTTAATAATTAAAGATTAATTTATTTTAATATTTATTGTTGTTATATATTATCATCATTATCATTAAATTCGTTGTCCTTATTCAAATTCAAAATAAATTAACAGTCAACCCTTGTTTATATCCCTTTTTTTAGGAATAAAAACAAATCACATGACAAATTTATTTATCATTTAGTTGTTAATACACAAAAAACTTTATCTAATTAAGAAATAAAAAATAATTCTAAAAATTTAAGAATTAGATACTAAGACCTTTTTATACATTTGAGAATTATTTAGCTTTCAATTTTTAATACAGCCATTAATTTAATATAGCCATTTAATTCAACATATTCTTTAATTCAACATACTCTTTATTTTACCACAACCCTTAATTAACACAGCCTTTTTTAGTTCAAACATACTTTTTAACTGAAGATTTTATTTAATTCACCATAGCCTTTTTAACTCAACACATTCTTTAATTAGATCAGCAGTATCTATGAACTTGGAAACTTCAGCAATGATGATAATAATAAAGGACCATTAGTAAAAAAAATAAAAAAATGCAATGAAATAATGATTATTTAATCAACATCATCAAGAAATTGATGTTTTCTGCAGTGGCATGTCAAGTTCAAGGGACATCATCACAAATTCATTTGTCATACAACCAACAACAACAACAACAACAGAATTGTCAGATCCTATATTACTTTAACAAATACAACTAGTCTTGTTGACCTTTTTGATAGTTTTTTTGGACTATGATTGAGGATCAGAAGAATTTTCTTCATCAGTTCATCACAACAATTTTCAAATGGTATTTGTTAATGATGTTATCATCTTTGAATTCATTTGTGGTTGTTTAGACAGCAATGTTTAAAATCATCCATAAAGGCTCATTGTTACAATCTGTTAAGACCTTACCCGGATTAGGTGTGTTAACGGGTTGACGGATTGTAACATCAAAACCCTATAATAATAAGCTAACTGTAATCCGTTAACAACCCGTTATTATTATGCAAAATTGCTTAATATTAATGTTAACCTGTTACAACCCGGTAATCTGTTAACTACCGGGTAACTCACTCTACGATCGACAAACATGGGTTGGATAATTATAATATCCCTCTACAGGCAAAACCTTTATCCGTGACGACAAATGGATAAAGGTTTTGCCCTTTCAGAAAATGTCTGAATTATCTGCATTAACAACCAGTTAACTCGTTAATGATAATAATAATATCAATATTACAATCCATTGATCCGTTAATATTAACAACAATAATAATATTGATTTTTTTTTATGCTGAAGTGAAGACTTTTTTGACCATGTTTATTTATTTAATACATTATGAATTCTACCTATTGCTATTAAAATAAAATTTAATATCACAATCTTTCAATCCTATTAAGAAAACATTAAATTATTTTCAATGAAAAGAAAATTTTTAAACAATACAGCCTAAGCTCTCTATAATGAACACTAAGTAAAATCTCTCTATAATAATGAACTTCCCTTTTGTCCCAATTCAATTTTTTATAATTAATTTCTCTTTTTATGATGAACATCTTAGTAAACCTCTCTATAATGAAACAAAAGCAGAAAAAATACATATTGGGATGGGTTCAGTATAAAGAGTTTAAGCTGTATAGGGAAACATGTAAAAGAACACGGGCGAAACCTAATTTTTTAAAAAAAATTATGTTCTTAGATCACAACTTGAAAATTCATCTCCAAATTAAATAAAAATTAAATTATAAATATTTTATTATTTTAAATTCCAACAAATTAAATGTTTTTGATTTATTAATACCATATTATTAATTATAATATTATCCAATAATATTTGCTATTTTAACGGATTAACCCGTTACCAATTTGGATCCTAATTATAATACTAATACTAACGGATTCTTAACAGGTCCATAACGTTAATCCGTTAACAACCCGGGTCGTAACACTAATATTAATATGGTTGTGCAGCTTCCACGTGATCAGAGAAAATATCCACAAACTTTTACTATCTACTATTTAAAATTAAAAATTTATTATTATTTCTACAATTATTATTAAAGTCCAAAGCACCAATTGTTCATCACAAAAAAACTAACTTTTGAAATAATTAAAAAAAAAAAGTATATCAAATAATTTATTAGTCTTGCACATGGCAGATAGAAATCAATTCATTTTATTGAAAAAAAACTTTATCATTGTAATAAAAATACCCGAATAATAGTTTTTTTCCAAGTCAAGAATCCAAGGTTTCAAAGATTTCTCCAAATCATCATAACCGTCCTTGAAAATTTTTTTAGTGATTTCCTCCCTATAATCTTCTAAATTTGTTTATTCATTAATTTGGGTGAAGTTAATATATTACATTTATGAGTTAATTCGGCGAGTGTCATTGCAATTGGTGACAATAGCAGTAGTAGTAGCAAAATAAATCAAAGTTTACTAAATAATAATAATTTTAATATTAATATACAAAATCTAAAAGAAATATCCAGTTGTTTAGGAGACCCTATTCACAATTTAATTACTTTAACTATTATTTTTAAAAACAACCCTCAAATAATAATAATAATATTATTAATTTTACTGCTTTTATTTCCAAGATTTTCAATGATGGGTGGTAGAGGTTTTAAGCTAAATTTATTACATTTCTTTTGCCATTTTCATTCTTTTTTATTTACTGAAATACTTGGCATTGTTATTGTTGAATTGTTACCAACTCCCGCCAGATCAAAAACTATATGGCATTAATGATTTCTCCGCAGGAATTTTCTCCTTTGTTTTGTGTGAATTATTATTAACAGTGTTAATTCCCAGATCAAAACTATATGGCATTAAAGATTTCTTCTCTACAGTAATCTTTCCTATTGATTTATATGAATTATTATTAATGGTGTTAATTCCCAGATCAGAACTATATGGCATTAAAGGCTTCTCCACAGGAATTTTTTCTGTTGACTTGTATGAATTATTATTAATGATATTAATTCCCAGATCAAAACTATATGGCATTAAAGATTTCTCCATAGAAATTTTCTCTATTGATTTATATGAATTA